GTACCCATGACCACTCAGTGCCCAGTGTGGTCACTGTGCAGACTCAAATTCAGGTTACTATTTCCTGCAGTGGGGGTTCAAGCATTTGCCCAGCAGCCAGCACCCTTGGTCATGCCAGTCCTCACCTTTATTTTGTTAAATCCAAACTCTTCACACCTGTTAGAATGGCTAACAGAGAGAGACTAACGAGACCATTGGTGAAAATAAGAAAATGAGACTTATACACTGCTGGTGGGAATGCAAAATGGTGCAGCCACTTTAGAAAAGTTTGGCAGTTCCTCAAATTATTAACCACAGAGTTACCCATAACCCAACAACTCCATTCTTAAGTATATAAAGAAGAGAAATGAAAATACATGCCCACGCTAAAACTTGTCCAGGAATGTTTATAGCACCATTAGTCACAACAGCCCAAAACTGGAAACAACCCAAATGCCCGACACATGAATGGATAAAAAACTGTGGTATATAGCAACAATAGACTACTACTCAGAAATAAAAAAAGAACTATTGATACATGCAACAATGATACAAGTGAAAGAAGCCAGACTATAAAGAGTACATACTGTATATATTAATTTTTATAAAACCATAGAAAATGCAAACTAATCTACACTGACAGAAAGTGGATCACCAGTTTTGGCCTGTTAAATGGGGGTGGGGGTGGGTGAGGGATTACAAATTAAGAAGGAAACTTTCAGAGTGATGGGTATGTTCATTATCTTGATTTCATGGATGTATACAATGTCAAAATTTATCAGACTGTACACTCTATAAATACATGCATTTTATGTCAATTATACTTCCATAAAACTGAAAAAATAAAAATAATACAAACTCTTGGGCCAGCCACCGATATTGCTTTGTATTTTTAGTCCAAACTGTTAAGATTAAGCTCGGATGGTCACAGTGACCCAATATAGGAGGCCTCTCCTGGATATTTGCTGGCCTCTTCCACAAGTTATCAAAAAAACTTTGGCTATAGCCACTAGGCTACCAACCACTTAGTGTATGTTTCTAGGTCTGCCTTCTGTAATTCCAGCAGAACCTCCACAGCAAGTATGCATCTCAGTCAATTTTGCATTCCCAATTTAGGCATGCAGATTTTTTTGGCACAAGTGTTCTTTCCACAGGAGACAGCATCTGAGACAACTCCTTACAGAACATTATTCATACAGCTAACAATTACAAAGGAGCTACTGCGCAGGAGGCACTGAGTAGGCCCCCAGAGGGAGGCTATCAGAGAGGAAATGGTCAGGTGTCCATTAGTTCCAATATAGCTTGATAAAGCTCAGTCATTGAAGGCACTTAACAGGGGGGCATCTAACCTGACTTTGAAGTAGAGTGGTTCTGTCAGCAAAGGTTTCTTACTGACATTAATTTATAATTAATTGATAAAACTGTATTTGAATAATACAGAATGAGTAAGAGCCCTCATGTGGGTAGGAGGTGGGAGAGTTTCCCTGTAAAAGGAATGCTGTATGTATGAAAATCGGAAGCTGAGAAAGAGCACGAGCCAGGTTAGCTGGATTCTGGATTTGGAGCCTTGTTTGGATAGGCAGATGAAAAGTTGTCATGAACCTGTTAGGCCATGAAGAGTTTTGCATTTGTCTAGATTCTGGAAGACTTCAGAAGGAATACAGAGCTCCTGAAGGACTTTAAACTGGGGAATACCTTGTTCATGTCTGTCTTTCCAATAACCTTGGCTGCATCATGGAGGGTGGTTAAAAGCGAGGCTAAGCTACCTCTTAGGTACTACAATGGTTCTGGGGAATTTAATGGCAGTCTGAGGCAAAGTCAAGGAGGGAGGATTGAGCGAGGGGATGTTAAGACTTCTTCCCCCACCCCAGCTCTTACCTTCTTGCCTACTGACCACCAGCTTCCCTTCACAGCATCCCAAGATCAAGTCTTTCTTCTGAAAGCCTAACTGAAAAGGCCATCTCTCACCTACATCACTGATCCTGCCTCTGAGAGCCAAGAGTGCTTTACACCCACTGGAAACTTAGTCAAACCTTGTCCCAGGACGAAGTAATTAAACCAGCGTGTCCCTCATCTGTGGGCTTTGAAACAATTGTCCTAATTAGTGCAATCAACAAGGTTCCTTTTTCCCATCTCATTCTCCCAGGTCTAAGTGAAAGAACTGATAAACCCACTCTAAGGGTTCAGCTTTAAAGCAGAAGTGGTATAGTAGCCCAAGCCCCCACATCGCTGTGGAGCCACTAACTGGCTGCATTCCCAAACCTTTGGGTAACAATGTGGGCTCTGGTTAACAGGCCTGGTTGTTGGAGCCAAGGGTCAGAATGGGGAATTCTTAGCCCAGTGGGCCCACACTGCCCTGCTGAAGGCCCATGCCAGGCATCCGTATAGGGAGTGTGCTAGTGGGTCCTCATGTCTTCAGGGCTAGCTGTATCCTTCTCAAAAACATGTCTCCCAGCATCTAACATAGGCATATATGTAGCTGTTCTTTATTTAAACCCTCACCCAAGGACATGCTTATTGACACTAGGAAGAGCAGAAGCGGGGGAAAAGAATCATCCAAGCAAAAGACAAGTGTCAATTAGTTGCCTCTCTTACACTCCCTGACTGAGGACCAAATCCACAACCCAGACATGTGCCCTGACCAGAAATCAAACCCACGACCTTTTGGTTTACAAGACTACACTCCAACTGAGCCACACCAGCTAGGGTTGGTAGCTGTTTTTTAAAGGTCTACTAAATTAATCAAAACCGAAGGGCTGCCCTGGCTGAGTGGCTCTTAGAATGTCATCCTGACATTCTACCCCAGTCAGGGAACATACAAGAATAATCCAATGAATGCCTAAATAAGTGGAACAACAAATCGATATTTCTTTCCCGCTCTAAAATCAATAAAAACAAACAAAAGGAATAGAAGTAGGGCTTAAAGGGTCAGACTTAGAGCTGCTTTTGGCACTGCCTATAAGGGGACTGTATTTTTCAGGGAAAGGGGATTTGTGTCCATATTGGAAAGTTTGTTAAATTAGAAAAATGTATCTTCAGCTGTCAGTTTCCAAAATTCCTTTAAAAATTCTTTGATGCCTTTTTTGTTGGTAGTACTGGGGATGGGGATTAACTGGTAAGCTATGGGCCTGGAGACTAACACTGGGAGATGGGCCAACTTCCCCCACGCTTTTGTTCAATCAGGTGCTCATGCAGATGCCCATGTGGGCCTATCTGTGCCACTCATAACCCACCCACCCCAGATGATTTTCTCAGGCACTTCTAATAGCACTTTTGTTTTCCCTAGCTTTACTTAAAAAAAAAAACACAAACCACTCTTCATTTCTAGCATCAGTTTCACAACCAGACACCATCCGACATTTTTATTTTCCAATAAAACCTTTTTAAGATGCCCTGAGAGGTCTCACTTCTCCCCAACACCCTCCACCCCATCACTTCAGCCTTTACTCATCGCCCTGCCCTACCTTCCTTAGAATTCAGCCTGGACACTACAATACTTACATAGTACTTGGCACGGACTCACGGTATAGTTTTGCTTTTGTTTTCCTAGACTGTGAGGTTCTTTAAGGCCAATTTCAAAGCTTATTTCCCAGGGCACTTACTGAAACTCATCTCCGAACAGCTAATTAATTATTGACTGGTAGGGGTCACTCAATATACCAAGGTGCAAGCAGAGGCTGGCAGGCAGCAAGAGCCACCACCACCTGCAAGTTTTTATCTACAGGCTCTACCTCTATCTTGTATTATATTCTTCAGGTGTTCCCAGCATCCATGGGTGATTTTTAAGAACACACTCTGGAACTAACTGAAATCACAAGAAAAGGGGTTGGCAAAAAGCCCTAGTTGAAAAGGGGATGTTTCAGTGCCAGAAAATCACAAAGGCTATAGAAAAAAACCCATCCACTTGCTCTCTGGCCTTGATGTGAAACAGAAAGGCCAGGAGCTACTAACATTTCACAGTGGAATCCAGGTTAAACAATTACAAGGCGTGTGAACACAGGGAAACCACTTGACATCACTTGAGCCAGCAGTAAAATTGGATAAAAAGCAATCTTTGGCAAGGACGCACTGAAACAGCTTCCCCAAACATAACCTCTTTCTGCCAAAGCAAGCTACCACTTACTGGTGGTTCAGATTCCAAAGCACACCTCCCAGGACTGTTTTAAGTGCACAGTTGGAGTTGCCACTGGCTGCCACCTCGTGGTCTAAATTAAAACTGCCTATCAAGTCTTAAGTGGCTACCAAGACAAAACCACCTGTGTGGTACGATACTTAATATCTCACTTGTCTAATATTTTCCAGCTCCATATAATTCTTGGCTCACAGTACCCCACAAATATATCCCCAATCTCCAGTACCCCTTAAGATCCACTTCTATCAGCTACCAGTTTTGCTGGCTGGCCCAGAGCTGCTGCCTCAAAAGCTTTGACCCCTACTTAGAAAGCACATAATACTGCAACCATCCAGTCACAGTGTGATCTGCAAGCCAAGCCAAAAACTTATCCAGCAAACCTGCCTGCGGCTTATATCTGCCTTTCCTGACACTGCCAGGTATACGGTGCTTGTAATGCAGGATCATGGAGAGGATCCCATCAAATCTTCCTCTGGTACCTGAACCAAAACTGGACTTCGCCCCAAGGGATCTTTCAACACCCTGCTCTTTTCTTATCCATTAACTCATACTTCAATATTCCCACATAGGCAATTTTTGTTCCAAGACCAAAAAAATAACAAATTCTCACCACACAGAGCTGAGCTGGCATGGTTGCCTGGTAAGGTGTTCGGCTTTCCAACCACTTCCCAGAAATGGTACCACACTGGACAGGACCCTGTAGGGAGGCGTCTGCTGGAACAAAGAGAGCCCAAGGCAAAGCCAAATACCACAGCTCTACAGAAACAAGTGATGTCGCTCTGGATTAGACAACTCCCAAAACCAACCCAGTCTTGCCTCATTTACATTCTGACCCTTAGATCATTGCCGTTCAAGCTCCATACTGCAAACAAAATAGGGGCACACAACATTATTTTCTGACCACAAGTTTATTCAACACAAAATAATCCCTCCAACTTTACTGAGGTGGTTGACCACGTCCACGACCAAATCCGCCTCTCTGCAAGAGAAAGCACATGACATAAGCATTAGCAGTAAGCTGAGGGACAGCAGGCTTTCTTATCGCTGGTGAGGCATCCCTGAGAGAGTGCAGGTCGTAAATCCTAGCCTCACCTTACTAGCTATAGGGCCACATTCACCTTTCCGGGCTGTTTGCTCATTTGTAAAATGGGGCTACGAATACCCACTCAAAGGTGTGCTCACATATACACACATGTAAGCACCAGCACAGGATAAAGATCTTGTGTATGCCGTACACACACACCTCCTTTTCACTGTGCTGTTTAGAGCTGCCACAGGACAGCTGCGATCCCAGCAGTGAGAGCCCAGCTCCCACAAAAGATCTTGACGTGGATTAACTAATCTCACAATTTTTTTGAGATGGCTGCAATCATCACCTCTATTTTATAGCGGAAGAAACTGGGGCACAGATCATTTCACCTGAAGATAAGAGGATTTGATTCCAGTCCATCCTGGTTCTAGAGCACATTCAATCTCCAGTCATTCTCAACCTTAAGTTTTGGTTCATGAAACTAATTAAAGGGGTTATGATTATCGTTAAAGAAACAGAAGACTATTATGCTACGTGTATAATAAATATTGATTTGTGAGACTCGTTTCAATAATTTATATACTGAAAAAAGTTTCCATGCTGTCTTAATGTAAAAAATTTATTTGGAGTTTGTGGTTTTGGGGGACAGAGAGAATAAAGGATGAGATGCACCACACTATACTACATCCCTACAACTTGCAGACCCCCCTAGGGCTGAGGCCAGAACAGTGACCACTCATGGAAAACCAACAGGGGAATGAATACTCACAAACTGGAATTCAGTTGCTGACCCAGCCCCGGCCTCAGCTTTCTTGTCGGCACCAGCTAGAAAGAGAAACACCAATTTAGATTCATCACAAAGTCTCATCTACTGCAGATAAGTAACCCAACCTAATCTTGTGGAGAAAGCCATGTCAACAAACAGACCCTATGAAATACAAGTTAAGTCATACCTTCTGAGCCACCTTTGCCCTCTCCCTCACCTAGGGCAGCCTCTGTTAAGTCATCCTTCAAAACTCACAGCTCAAACTATTGCCTCCTCTAGGAAAGCTGCCATGACTACAAAGTCTGGATCATGTACCCTTCTTGTATGGCCCCAGAGGATCCCTATTTCCTATTACTGAATCCCCTACATGCTTCAGATCAGCACCTAACTCACAAAGGGAACACAATGAAGAGCTAAAAAGTAAAGGACAAAATGGCCCAGAGGCAAAAAGCAACTTTATCATGACCATGGGAAAAAAAGCAAGATGAAAGACCTTGTGCTGCCCTGTCCTGCCCAGCAGCCACCAGTCCAAAGATGTGTGTGTACAATGACATACCAGATTTCAACACTTAAGAGAATGCAAAATTTATTTATTTTTAAAAAGATTTTATTTTCAGAAGTAGGGGGAGGAAAAGAGGGAGAAAGAGAGGGAGAGACATTATATGTGTCAGAGAAACATGGATTGGCTGCCTCGTGCACACACGCCCCCAACTGGGGAGCTGGCCCGCAAGTCAGGCATGTGCCCTAACCAGGAATCAAACTGGTGACTTTCGATTTGCAGGCGGTGCTCAACCCACTAAGCCACACCAGTCAGGGCAAGACTTAAAAGAACGCAAAACTAGAGGAGTGGGGGAGGAGAGAGGATGCAAAACATCTCACTAATGTTTACATGGGTTAAAAAAAATAACGTTCATTACCCCCAAAAGAAATCCTGTCATACATCTCTCTCCCCCTTAGCCCTTGGCAGGCACACCAATCTACCCTTCTGACTATAAATTTGCTTAGTCTAAACATTTCACAAAAATAGAAGCATACAACAAATTAACATTTATGTAAACTATCTGCATATAAGTGTGGTCCCTAGGAAATTTTATGGTTAGTACTGCAGCAGTGGGGAGGTAGATGAATACGATTTCAGTAAACTTTAATTTAAATAGGGATCTCTCTTTGGCTCATTTCAGACCACATTCACCACAGACTGTTCACTCCCCCACCCCTTTCACCAGTAAGCCAGTGTCTTCCTCATTTCTGTACCTTTGTTCATGCTGATATCTTGCCTGAAAGGCTCACTTCCCCTACACTTGAGTACCCCTGAGGCTTCGTCCCAACTGTCACAATCCCTGTAGACCCCATGTGTTGTGCCTTTTAATAAGAGCAACCACTAACTTTCTCTAAGTGGAGAGCATGTTTGCTGGAAGAATTTGTTTCTACTACCATGTAAGTATTCAGGTCAAGTGCTCATTTCTATTTTACATACAAAGAATCAGGAACCATGACAAGAGGGAGGCAAGAGTGATAAGTCAGTAAAAATTCCTTTTTATACCTTGCTTTTATATCAGTTTTCTGCTTCTGCAACAAAGAGTGACTCTTTAAAACCAACGGAATCCTATCATTCCTCTGCAAACACCAGTAGCTGGCTCCCCATCCTACCCAAGAGTAAAACCCCAAGTCCTCCCATGGGCCGCACCTACATCCTTACCTGATTCTCCGACTGTCTTCTGTTGCTTAGATAAGCCCAGTGCCTTCCCCAGAGGACCTTCACCTGAAATGCTTTCCCAGATAGCCATTGGCTGGCTCCCCTTTACCTCCTTCAGGTGTTTGCGTTAAGTCTCACTTTCTCAAGATTCTCCTGAAATCCCTATTGAAAACCACACCCCCCCCACTTTAATTTTTCCCCGTAGCACACTCACCATTGGACATATTTTGGGTTGGCCAAAAATTTCATTTAGTTTTTTACCTGTGATAGCTTTAGTAGTGCCTAGTTGTCTTTTAATTTTGTTCAAATAATTTTGTTAGATTTTATTGTGACAGCGGTAGTTATCAGTATGCATTTAAAAAAAAATCAAAACTGATGAATTTTTGTGTAGCCATTTAAGATTGAAAATGGAAGAAAATATGCAACATTTTTGGGCATATTATATTCCATTATTTAAAAGAAGGGAAAAACAACTGAAATGCAAAAGAAATTCTGTGCAGTGTAGGAAGAAGGTGCTATGACTGATCGAATGTGTCAAAAGTGGTCTGTGAAGTTTCTTGGTATTATTGACATTCTGACCAAATAATTCTTTGCTGTGGGACTGTCATATGCATTAGAAGATGTTTAGCAGCACCCCTGGCCTCTACCCCTTAGAAGCCAATAGTGGGAGATAGCTGACATACTCAAATATCCAAGTCAATGAAGTTATTAGTTAAAATGAAGAATATGCCTTTTATTTTATGGAAAAAACTAAATGGATTTTTTGGCCAACCCAATACATACTTATTTTTGCTTATCCATCTCCTATCACTAAAATGCAGGTTCAATGAGGAAGGCCTTTTGTCTGGTATGTACACTACTGTCTCCCCAGCTCCTGGGACAGGGCCTAGCACACCACAGGCACTCAATATATTATTTGCTCAGTGAAAAAACACCTGTTGTCCTGCATCAATGCGAGTATTTGCTATTTAACAACAAGATTCTACACTATTTTTACAATAAGGAAACAATAAAGGTAATTTGAGTGGACCCTACCCTCAAGGAGCTTACAACACCTGAACAGAACCACAAAATAAAACCATGTTGCTTTCCTGAAAGGTTTCAATTTTGCTCTAGGTTAAAGGTCTTCAACTAAAGTCTGTCCACAGCTCAGAGGGTGTTCTTCCCAATTCTTATTCATTAAACCCTGCATAAGGCATGAAAGCACAAAGGACTCCAACTGGAGACGGGAGAACGAAACCAAGGATCTTTCCAGTCACTCTGGCATCTTTGAGGGCTGAGCCCCAGCCAGGGCTGACTGAAAATCCAGAGGTTCTACCCCAACAGCCGCATACAGACAATGTGTTACTCACGGGGCACAGCACTCCGTCTGTAAGTGTCTCTGTCAGCTTCCCCTCGTGTCAGTCTCGCAGGTCGCTCGCCCTCCAGACCTACACAAAGTAAACATGCAGTGAACATTGGGCAATATGGGAACTCTGTTCCCTTCTGGCCAAGAAAACTGGAATTGCTCTCCTAGTCTCATTGGACAACTTAGTTATTATAAGTTAACGGGAACAGGAACTCCTACACCCAGAACTGCGAGCCAGAAACTTGTCATCATTGACATCTTGGCTCCTCAAAGGCCCAGGAAAACTCATTCTTAATTAAAATGCCACATATCTGCAAAAGGACTGCTTTCTCCTACTATAATTCTCAATATAAATACATATTTTCCAAACACTTGGCAAATTCAGATATTCAGCTATTTCTACAAACATTTCAACAGCCAGAATTTTGAACTTGATCCATCTCTGTAGTGGAACAGTTCTTGGGCAAAGGAGGAATCACAGATGAAAGCCCCACCTCCGGTAATAAGTATATAAATACAGAGGCTGCCAGAGTCCGTATGTCCCTTCCTGGGCTTCTCCACATACCTCCTTCAGGCTGGGGATACATTAAGACAGATTTGAAGAGGTACCTTAAAAACATTCTCAAAAACACTGTAAGTTTAATCTAGTACTCTCTCTACCCAGTTACCTTGGACTTTATCTAAAGTCCATACTGTTAAAATATACACCACTCTTTTTTAATGTGGAAGAGATAAAACTGAACTTGGAGTGGCTAAAATAAACAAATCGCCAAGTCTCACACAGGCCGACTAAGTCAAAAGTCTGTGGGACACAGAGAGACAATGGCAGCCCCCTCCACAAGCGATTCCAAAATGCAGTGAACTTTTGCTCCACAGATACATAACTCTTTAACCATCAGAACCCCCTTGGGAGCATTCATAAAAAAATAGATTCCTGAGCTCCATGAAATCTCCAGGGGAACCTGGACAGTCTGATGATGAGCTGTGTATAGGAATCTCTGCATCTCCCTTCATCACCCAAGCCCACAAACTGCTCTTCCTACAAAGGTTCTTGTGACAAGGTTTTTCAGAACCTAAGGAAATCACAACCTGGACAACAATGCAACTGTGAACAAGCAGATAACCTCCCCCAACACCCACCTAAGCATATCCCTCCACATTGTGATTCCCCTGAAAAAGTTACTCCATGTTGTACCACATGTGTCTGGCCACAGACTAATAGTATGTGTTTAATGTCATCTCCCCAGATAACCCGAGGGCCTCATTCCAATTCCATTACAAGTCCTGTACTAGGGGACAAAGATTCCAGGACTTGACCCAAGGTCCTGTATGCCAGAGTCCCTCTACAGCCAACACCAATGGTGCATTAAGAGACTACTACTGTCCCACCATCAAAACCCCCACCATTTCACACATGACCTGGCTCCCAGAAAGAGCCACTACAAAGCAGATTGTTAGAGGCGTTTATTTGGGACCATACCTTTGGGCCTTGGCCTGCCAGTCTCAGGCCGGCTGCGGCGCAAAGTGGCAGGCACAATCTCAGGGGGCAGGTGGAGGTAATCACGGAGATACTGGATGCCCTCGTTGGTAAGGTACCAGTAGAAATGTCTCCAGGCAAACTGTTCCTTCACGTAGCCTCGTGATTTGAGAGACTGTAAGACAGAAAACTACTGTTGAGACGCAACTAGAGGCTTGGAGCTAGAAACGCAGTCCAAAGGAAAGCTAAACTGCATGGAATACACGTCTTCACTCTGTGTCTACCTCTCAGTCCTTCAAGGCAGCAAGAAGCTCCGGTTGTCCTCACCTCCCCTTGGAGTTTGCCTTGAACGGCAGTCAAAAACCCCTCCACCTGCACCCCCTCCAGCAGTCCCCCAGCTACCTGCATGGCCTTCATGACATGAAGATTAGGCACGTTCTTGTCTGCCAGCTCAGGGTGTTTAGGCATGTGCACATCCTTCTTGGCCACCATCACTCCCTCCTTAAAAAGGAGTTCATAAATAGCAATACGGTTCTTCTTGGGCATCAACATCTGTAGGAAGAAAATGACCCCCAAGAGCACTTCTGAGCAATTTGGCCAGGGTTCAGAAACCGAGTTCATGACCCCAAAATGACCACACAGAATCAGTCTAATGGGTTAAAATTTCAAACACAAAAACACACAGAAAACATGCAGAATTCAAACTCCTTAGACTGAAACTCATCCTTTATCAGCTCCCACCTCCAACCCTAAAAACACTTCAAGTGAGAAAAGTTGCCAGGGCATTAAAACGCGGTACCTATCCGCTCCAAACTTTCACCGTTAAAACCATACAGGTATAGTGGGGAGCGCAGACTCTGTATATGCGGGACGGCGCGGCTGTACTTTCAGCTACGAAAAGGGACAGAGAAGTCTTATTCATATACAGGCCGCTGACCCCAAACCAAAGTACTAAGGTCTTCACAACTTCATTTTCTAGAGTCCCAGGGCCAAGCGAGGAGGCAACCGGGACGAGGGGGGGTTTCTTTCCCTAGGCAAAGGCGCGCAAGCGGGGTGTAGCCCCCCTAGCCTCGCCCACAGACCCCGCCAAGCAAGAGCTTCATCCTTCCTTATCGCGCCCTTCGCCATCGGGACGCCAATCTTCGCCCACAGCGCCCCACTACCCCCACGAACTGCGCCTCTGGCCCCTCTCACTGTTCAGAAATGGGCGTGCGCCAGCAGGAGAGGGACTTCGCCCTGACCCTGGGGAATCGCAGCGACTACGGCGGTGAGAGAGCCAGGATGGAAGTCGATACAATCCATACTCCAGAAGAACTCACCGCAACAACTGCTCTGTACGGGCCCGAAGCTAAAAAGAAAAAGGCATGCGCGGCGTGGCGCGACGTCTCTTCCGGGCTGGCGTGCCCCGCCCCCCGTCAGGACCCGCGCGCTGCCTGGGGTGGCCTGGGAGGTGCCTGAGAGACTCGCTGTTGGGGACAGCTGCAAACCCTGACCAGTGTGATGGACACTGGTCCGTGGAAACTGCTACCGGGAGCTTCTGCGCTTACTTCCTTTGTCAATAAATGGTCACTTTTATGCTTGGGCAGGCCGTTTGGAAACAGGCTATTTCTTTATTCCCATCGATAATTTAACTTAATATTTTGCAAGTAATACATGCGATTTGAGCGGGAAAAAGAACATACAAAGTAATAACAATAACAACAAAAAAGACTAAAAACAATCCTATCAACCAAAGATAATTATTACTTACATTTTGGTATATATTCTTCCAAACTCATTCACTCAAACAAATGTATAAGTGTATGCGGGTGGGTGTGTACTTACATATATATATATCTAGCACAAATAACGCCTCTTTTTATTACAAAATATTTTATTACAAAATCATAAGCATGTAATTCTGTAACATAACAATATCACACTCAAGCATGCCATGTGACATTTTAGGTGAAATGTTCAAATTAAAACCATAAAATATTACACCCATATTATTACCCTACCAACCACACTCAAGCAGGCCTTACTTCTGCCGGACCCTGTATATGTATATCTGGGGTCTGTTTGGAAAGAGTTCAAGCATTGTTAACATAATGGAAATGGTTTGTGCGAAATCTATGTAACCTGGCAGCCAAGGAGAGTGGACTGGAATGCACCTGTGTGAACGAAGACTTGACTATTTACTATTACACTATACTAGTCAGTGAGGGCAGTAGACACCCTTGAGTGAGCATGTGTACTTTGTGGCCCTTGCATTCAAAATGACTTAGCAAGGAATCTGCATCAGATTTTGCTTTAAGCTTGAACATTCCTTCATGGAAACCATTCCGATGATTCAGAAGGTAGTAGCTATGAGGAAGTGGTGATTGGCAGCTTCATCACCACAACCTGCCTGCTCATGCATCATATCTAGTGCATAGTTTTTTTGGCAAAACAGCAAACCGCCCAGGTAACTCAGCCCCCTACAGCCCAGATTTGGCTTCCTGCGACTTCTGGCTTTTCCCAAAACTAAAATCACCTTTGAAAAAGAAGCGATTTCAGGCCGTCAATGAGATTCAGGAAAATATGAGGGGGCAGCTAATGGCTACTTAGAGAACTGTGTGCTGCCCTGAGGTGCCTACTTAGAAAGGGACTGAGGTGTCATTGTCCTATGTACAATGTTTCTTGTATCTTCTTCAATAAATGTCTCTATTTTTCATAGTATGTGGCTGAATATTTTCTGGACAAACTTCATATATATATATATATATATATTTTTTTTTCATCCTGCAACTGGACATATATTAAATTTTTGTGATTAAACATTTTTTTCTTTTTAGGTATTTGTGTTCTTCCTATAAATTTTTTATTTCCATGATCTGTTTTCTTTATTTTTTTAAGACTTTATTTATTTATTTTTAGAGAAGGGAAGGGAGGGAGAAGGAGAGGGAGAGAAACATCAATGTGTGGTTGCATCTCATGTGCCCCCTATTGAGGACCTGGCCTGCAACTCAGGCATGTGCCCTACACTGGAAATCAAACCAGCGACCTTTTGGTTCACACTGAGTCACGCCAGCTAAGGCCCATTATCTGTTTTCTTACTGAGAATTTTTTCCTATTGATTTGAATTCACTCTTTATGTGTTAAAGCTATTAACCCTTTGTCACATATTTTTTAAGAACTTCCCCCAGTTTTTCAATTGCCTTGATTTTCATGGTATTGTGCAGAAGTTTTACATTTCTTTGTATCCAAATCTTTATGGTTTCAGACTTTGGTACAACGCATAAAAAGTCACTCAATGGCCTCATGATCATATAAATATTCACCTAACGTTATTTCACGTATTTTTGTGATTTCGTTGTTTAAAAATAAGTATGCATCAGTAGGGCAAGATGGAAAGAGCTCTGGAGATCAGTTGCACAGCACTGTGAATCATCTAACACTACTGAACTGCACATTTAAAAATGGTTAAGGTAAATTTTATGTTATAAATATTTTACCACAATTTAAAAAATAAGTATTTATAACATGTTTGCAGAAATTTAAAAAAGAAGCTTGAACATATGGACAAGGAACATCATAATCTAAGAACTGGTCAAACAGATTTGAAAAAATACCAGAAAACTTCTAGAAGTAAAAACTAAAATGATCGAGATTGAAATTTTATTTCATTTTATTGGTTTTCTTTTCATTCTTACCCACAGATTTTTTTTATTGATTGATTTTAAAGAGAGAGAAGGAAGGAGGGAGAGAGAGAGAAACATTGACGTGAGAGAGAAACATCAATCAGTTGCCTTCTGTACATGCCCTGACTAGACATCAAACTTGTAACCTAGGCATGTGCCCTGACCAGGAATCCAATCTGAAACCTTTTGATCTAACAGGATGACACTGCAACCAACTGAGACACCCTGCCAGGGCCAAAAGGGTTGAACTATTAAGAATAATAAATAGCAGATTTGACACACTTAAAGAGAAAGACCAGTGAAATGGATGATAAAATTAAAAAAAAATATTCACAATTCCGTCCAGAGATTAAAAGAGAGGGAATGTTTGAAAGACAGGGTAAGAGGTATGAAGAACAGAGTGAGAATGTCTAATATATGTCTAGGTGAAGTCTCAGAAGGAAATAGTAGAGAATGTAGTAAAGAGACACTGTCAGAATATTTTCCAGAATTATTGGAAGACAGCACACTTCCTACTCATTGTTCTTATGAAATCCCAAGTTGGAAAAATAAGAAGAGATCCAAGTCTAAACATATCATAATGAAGTTGCAGAAAATCAAAGACAAAGAGATCTTAAAAGCAGCCAGCAGGGAAAGACAGGTGTGACCGCTCACTTCCCAATAGGAGCACTGGAATGCAGTGTACTGAATCTTCTCCTTCAGTAGCTAGAGTAATACTGCTGCAACATCAGGCCATATTACCCCCCTGCTTGAAATCCTTGAAAGACTCCCCAGTTCAGCTACAAAAATACTCAAAGTCTTTATACCTTAATTTTTTATGTTTAAATCTTTGATTCTCCTAGAATGTTTTCTGATATAAATTTTTTTCTCTCTGAAGAGTCAGCCAGTATCTCAACATTATTTCCTCAATAAGATATGTTTCTGTTTATCTGAAATACCACTAAATGGTTTATGAGAGATGAATTTAGTTTTAGATTTTGTTGCATTTGTGTCTATGAGACACACTGGTGAAAATAGTCAGGATAATTTTCTATAAAGAACTCAGGCCCTGCCCAGGTGGCTCAGTTGGTTGGAGCATCGTCCTGTACACCAAAGATTGTGGGTTCAATTCCTGGTCAGGGCACATACTTAGGTTGTGGGTGCGTATGACAGGCAACTATCTGATCGATGTGTGTCTCTCTCTCTCTTCCCCCCCTTCCTCTCTCTAAAACCAATAAAAACATATCCTCAGGTAAGGATTAAAAAAACAAAACTCAGAATTTGTCTTGTGGGAAAGAGAGCTGAGTGAGATCAGGTAAGGGAATTATCTAAGACTCTGTGAAGATCTGAGATCACCTACAGAGGGTGTGGAGTAAGAATAGGATGAGGAGGGATCCCACAGCACTTCCCAACTCACCTTGGGTGGTATTCCTGTGGGTATCTCCATACCTGGCTAGAGTTGTCTTATAGGGAAGGACCACGTCCTTCTCTTCTCTTAGTGCCCTCTCCAGCAGTATAGTTAAGTATATCTCACACGTGTTTAATATACTTAATAAATGTTTCAGGAATAAACAGCAACCTCATGGATAGCAAAGGAGGTTAGAGATTACTGAGTAAGAAAGGAGGACAGGTGAATAGTAATGCCCTCTGACACTACAAAAAACTTCTCAGATGGCAATGCACACTGGAGTCTACTGAATTCCATGTAGCTGTTACGCTCTGAGCATCAGGTGGTGAGGCGAGGGTGGGGGCAGGAGCGCACATGGACCAGACACCAAGCAACAAATACCTCTGTTATGTGCTGGGAACTATGAAGAAAATGATCAGGTGTAGTGACAGAGAGCAATGGAGAATAAGGCGGTGACTTTTCAACTGAAACCTATGGAGGAGTAAAGCTTAGGTTGAGAACAAGCTGGGGAAACAGTTCCTCTGAAAGGCCTTCCTGCAGAGGAGGCCTTGAACTGAAAGGCAGCCAGCATTGCTAAGACAAGGCTAACAAGGCGACTTTGACAGACACATTGGCCTCAGGGAGGAGTTTGGATTATATTCAAAATGCAATGAAAAGCCACAAAAAAGGTTCAGACAGTAGTGACAGGGTCAGATGCATCTTTTAAAGAGATTACCCTTATAAAGACCAATCCCATGTTTACCACTTCTACCCTATATTGTGCATGAAATACAGGTGTATTACCTGAGTGGCATTCCACTGTATAGGTATACCGTAATCTATTTACCCACTTATCAGTTGATGGACATCTAAGTTGTTTCTAGGGTTTGGCCATTATAAATAAAGCTGTTATGCGTTTTTATTTATGTCTTCTGGTGGACATGGGTATTGGGCAGGCATCATTAAGAACTGCTGTTAAACAGAGAACCACAGGCCCAAAATGGCTTCATTTGTGCTGAAAGCCCATAACACCAAACCTAGAGTTAATACCTAACCTATTTGCAGTTTCAGCTTCTCCCAGGAGTGGAATTTTAAACCAATCAGTTTGGAATCTCCCCTTCCCCTAAGGTGTCCTTGCCTGAAATAATCCATTCTTAACTTTAGTCCCACCCTCTTTCTATCAATGAAAACCTTCCATTTTCTACAATTCCTTAGAGTGCCCTTCTATTTAGTAGCTGGGATGCTGCTCCATTCATGAATCACTTATTAAAGCCAAATAGATCCCCAGATTTAGTTGGTTGAAT